AAATTTCTTGGCACTATCCACTTGCTCTTGGATTTCCCTTTGGCATAACTTAAATGATTTTTCTCTGTCTGTGACTTTTTGGTCCAGTTGGTGTATTCTGTCTTCTGTATCTGACACTCTAAATTCCATTTCATTCACTCTGTTAACTATGGCTTCCACTGTGGTTTGCATGGAGGAAATGGACTCCTTTATAGATTCGACGTTGGTTCTCAAAGTACTAATCTCACCTCTTAGTGAGGTGTGTACTGCCTCTATTTTTGTACTAATCTCACCTCTTAGTGAGGTGTGTACTGCCTCCATTTTTGTGTGCACCACCTGTTTGAGATCCTGCATCTCTTTTGATAGTTCATTCCTGTGTTCTTTAAATTTCTAGTTTATTTCTCACTTTAATTCTTGAGTCATTGCCTCCAGCATCTCTTGGATGTCGCTTTTGTCTTCCATTCCTGCCTTGCTCCCACTGGGGCTCTCCCCTAGGTGGCTGCTGGCTTTTGGGAATAGCTTGCTATCCTGGGTGTTGATAAACCTTGTAATTTTTCTCTGTGATTTTTAAATGGGGATTCAGGGATTATTGGAGACTAATCTGAAATTTTGTTTTGGTCAATAGGTATCTGTCTTTGCTTGGTTGCTGTTTCTGGGTTGGCGGAGAGAGTCTGTACCTGGTCTCGGTTCTGTTAGGGACCAACCTCCAGCTGCTGATCTGACCCACATAGAGCTCTCGGCTCTCTGCTGTAGATCACTAACAGTTCCCACCTTTAGAAGGACTGAGCAGCCTAGACTGCTCCTGTTTACTCCTACAGGTGCTCTTGGTGAGATGGGATGTGCTGGATGTACTCTCCCAGTTGCTGGAGTCTGCTATGGGATCCTTAATGTTTTTATTTTTTGGCTGGTTGTGAGCCTGAACTCTGGGCCTGGGCGCTGTCCCTCAGCTCTTTAGCTCAAGGCTGGCACCCTACCATTTGAACCACGACGTCACTTCTGGCCTCTTCTGCTTATGTGGTGCTGAGGAATCAGATCCAGGGCCTCATGCACACGAGGCAAGCACTCTGCCACTAAGCCACCTTACCAGCCTGAGCTCCTGACTATTATCAGGTGCTGGTGGCCTGAGGTGTCCAATTCCCAGCCTGGGATATATGGGTCAGGTTCTGGTGGGGTTTGGGCTTCTGGTTCTCTTGCCCTGGACACCCAGGTCTTTTGCTGTCACGGGCATGATTCCCAGGGGGTGCAATTCCCTGTTTTCTCCCCTCTGCTGAGGCGTATGCTCAGCTTCTGACTTCAATCAGGATGAGTTGGTTGTGTTGCTCAGGCACCGGTCCTGGCCTGGTCCTGGCTCCTAGTCCCCGGCCTGGGGAACTCCAGTTGGACCTGTGCTGCTGTGTATCCCACCTGGGTTACACAGCCTGGAGTACACAGTTCAAGTTTCTTCCACTGTTGGCTGTTGTGACCCAGGGGTGATGTTCCTAGCTTGGGTTTTTAAGCTCCCTTCCAGGGGTGCTCTTGATCTGGCCTGGCTGGCTGGATGTGCTACACAGGCTGGTGGAGCTCTCAAACAGTTCCCAATTTTAGTGGGTAGTGTAGTCCAGGTTTTGGGATAGGAGTCTGGGTCAAGGTCTGGGGGGTTCCCACCAGCTTTGGTTTCCCTTGAGGAGGGATACACTGTCACCTGCAGGGTACTCACCCTGGAGCTAGTTGCTGTTTCTGTGTGATCTACGTCACTGGTTGCAGCTACAATCAGAGTTCAGTTGGGATGCTTGTGAGCTGGGCCGGGTGGTGGTGGCTCTGTTTGTTTCTCCTCTGTCTCTGCCTCTGTTGATGCTATTTGGGTCGGCACCATGGGATGGGCCTCTGGTTAAGGGGTGGGGGAGCGGTCTCCGTGCAGGTTCTGAGCCTGGAGTTTGTCTCTGTGTGTGCTCTCTGGGTCAGCACCAGTACCTTGCAGGTCTTCTGCTCTGGCGTTCTGTGGGTGACCCGTGTAGTTCTGGGGTTCCCGCCATGGGGCCGAGTGGCTTTGTCAGGATGGAGCCCCTCTGCTCAGAGAGTGAGGAGTAGGGGTGGAATCTTTGTATAGGCGCCTGGCTCAGAGGTTTCTCTGTTCGTCACGATCAGCGGGTCTTCAGGGGTCTTTTGCGTAGGTGATCTGCAGACGACCCCCTGCAGCCCCTGCCGGGCGCGGCTGGCTGCAGCTGGGTGCATTGCCGTGCAACCAGTAAAGGTTGGGGGAGGGGTCTTCATGCTTCTCTGTTCTGAAATTCTTCATTTTCTTTCTTTTTTGTTTTTTTCTGCCTCCTGTTTTTCTCTGGGTGTTCATCTTTTTGTTGTTGTCGGTCTCTTGGGGAAATTAAGTGTTGGAACTCGAACTCTCTTTTTGGTTGGAGAGAGCTGTGGTGTTTCCCTACCGTTCCGTTGCCATCTTGGTTCCCCCTCTTCTATTTTCCCTTTTGACTGGATACTTGATTAACTATGAGAAAGATATACATGTACATATGTGTGTTTCTATATCTATCCATCCATACACACACACACACACACACATACATATATATATATATATATATATATATATTTGGTATTCAGTACAGAAGTATTCTTAACTTTTCACTCTGAAATTTATCAGCTCTCTATTCATTTTAAAACTGTTTAATTTTAGGGTTTTATGTAGTCTTACTTCATGATTATTTTTGAACAGTTCTAAAACTAAAACTTACAAATTTAGATCTGCTGGGTATCCTGGGATACGGTATGTGTGAAGTCATGATAAAAACAAAATTGAAATATGAAATACTGGCTAGAGACCAGCTAACTGACGATAGAATTCAAACTATAAAAATATCTCCAGCCTCACTCTTCATTTCAATTCATACATGAATATTACATGCTTTACTTATGCTACATCAACATTTGTGGGAATTCCTGTTAATGAACAAATGAAAATGAAGCCAGTTTCCCATTAAATCTTATTTTACTATATTAGAGTTTGCCCCTTATGGTTATTGTCTTACAAGAAAAGTAATTATTCATTATGGTGGCTTTTCATAAAAACCAGAAATGTACATGGAATATTAGACATTTAGTAACTCTTCTATTTATGTAATGAAACTTCCAATAATTAAAAAATGGAGTTGGAGATGCAGTTCAAGAGCATAGTACTTCAGAGCCTGGGTCAATCCTCAGCACCACAAAAATGAATAAATTAAGTAAATAATTGCAAAACTAAATTCAAGAATATATAATCTATTTCCAAAGGGATAAAAACACTATTGCTCAAATAACAAAGCATCTTTATTGGTCTAAATTCTTGCTTCATAATTTATTGTGCCTAAGTTTATTCCATTGTGATCTCACAATGGAATGAAACTAGAAATTAATAATAAGAACAACAGAAACTATAGGAACACATGGAAACTGAACAATAGACTTTTGAATAGTCAATGAATGGTTGAATAAATCAGGGGAGAAATTTTTAAAAAATCCCAGAGTCAAATGAAAATGAACATGTAACTTATTACAACCTATAAGAAACATTTCTAAGAAGGATGCTTATAGTTCTGAGTGCTTACATGAAAAACCAGAGAAGTTTCAAGTAAAAAAGCTAATGATACAACTTGAAGAATAAAAATAAGCCAAACCTCAAATTAGTAAATAGAAAGACATAATAAAGATCAGGGCAAGAATTAATGAAATAGTGAAAGAACAATATAAAAGATCAATAAAACTAAGAGTGATTCCTTGAAAAGATAAAGATTAGCTGGGCTCAATAGCTCATGTCTGCAATCCTAACTACTCAGGAGGTGGAGATCAGGAAGATCTTAGTTTGAGGCAAATCTAAGCAAAAAGACTTCATTTCAGTCTCTATCTCTCAATGTGAAAATGGATCAAAGACTTTTATATAAGTCCTGGCACTGTGAAACTACTATAGGAAAACACAGGGAAAAACATTTCAAAATAGAGATATAGCTAATGACTTTCTGAATAGGACTTCAATAGCTCTGGGAAAAAACCAAAATTGAAAGTAGAATATAAGAAACTATCTCAAAGGGCTGGGAAGGTGGCTCAGTGGTAGAGTGCTTGCCTTGCATGCATGAGGCCCTGGGTTCGATTCCTCAGCACCACATAAGCAAAAAGAAAAAAGCCAGAAGTAGCGCTGTGGCTGAAGTGGTAGAGCGCTAGCCTTGAGCTGAAGAGCTGAGGGACAGCGCCCAAGCCCAGAGTTCAGCCCCACGACCAGAACCCCCCCCCAAAAAAAGAAACTATCTCAGGGAGAAGCAAGGGGGAAGAGGGATAAGAGGGATAAGAGGGATAAGAGAGGGTGGTGAGGGCATAAATATGACCGAAGTACATACATGTATGAAAATGTCATAATAAAATCAGTATTTTATATAATTAATAATAAATGGTAAAAATATCATATTCCTGGAATTGCTTATTACTGTCTTTATTTCCCTAACTAAATAGGATCTTGATACCAATCACATATGAGATGCATTGCTTTAGGAACATTCTCATAGACAATGAATCTCAGCCAGAAGAGCACAATCTCCTCTATACTTTAAGCATTGCCATACTGCCTTCTACACTCTCCTTTTACACTTAAAGCCTAATACAAATGATTGACATCCACTGATCAATACAGTGAATAAAATTATTGCATAGATCTAAACAAATTAAGAAATCTAAAGAAAGAAGAAAAATCGCTGGGTACTAATGACTCACTCCTGTAATCCTGTACTCAGGAAGTACTGAGCAAAAAGTTCTCAAGACCCCATTTCAATCAATAGATGGGAGTGGTGGCAGGTCTGAACAAAAAGCAAGACTAATATAATCAGAGCAAAATGAAGGCATGACTCAAGCAGTAGTATGTCTACCTAGCAAGGGTGAAGTCAAGTTAATACTCCCCAGAACTGCAAAAGAAAGGCAGGCAGGCAGGCAAGCAGGCAGGAAGGAAGGAAGGAAAGAAAACAGTCTATAACAAAAACAAAAATCTTATTTTTCACTTTAGCACCTACGTTCTGGTTGTTTTTCATTGGGTGTTATAGATCGCACAAAATCTTGTGGCGTCATAAACACTTCTGTTTCACCAGGCTCATTGATTACTTTCAAGGTAGCAAAGTATCGGAAGATTTTGTCTGGTGTGGAATAGGCTCGAATCCTATTCTCATATTCCATCACCTAAAATTAGAAATTTAGATTGTTATTATAATATACAATACTAAAATAATCTAATCATCAGTATTTACCAAGTCTCATATACTATATTCTTCATCCTATTTGAGAAAATATTACTGTCTTTTTTTAGAATTGGATTTTATATTACAAATAACAATGATTTTTAAAAAATTCAATTTCTCCCTTGTGATATACCACTCATATTCCAGTTGAAGTAATGTTCATGTACCTTTTATTTACACTCTTTTTAAAAAGAATTTTGTCATTTTTTTTAAAGAGTTGAAAGTTTGTAAAATTGAAAGATGTCATTAAGAGAATTTAAAAGGTCCTAGTAACAGAATACAATGTCATACATATACTAGCTTCTAAAGTTTTAATAGCAAATTTTTAAAAAGTGATTGACTTGCCAGATATGATGGTATATATCTGTAATCCTAGCACTTAGGAGGCACAGGCAAGAGGATCTCAAATTTTGATACTACTCTGGGCTATATAATGAGTTCCATGCCAGTTTGGGATACATTTCAGGTCTCAGTCTAAAAAAAAAACGAAACAAAACAGACACCAAACAACAACAAAAAAAAAACCCAACCTCCTCCCTCAAAAAAAAAAAACCAACAAAATAAAAAAGGAGTGAGGGCTAACTTTATAGCTCTTACTTCTATGAAATTTCCTGGATCCTAAAATAAAACAAACCAGATTCCAAAGATCTGAGTAGTAAGCAGGCCTTCAAAGACAAAGTATATTAAATGATGGCACAGAAAAACAGAATTATATATCATGGAAACAATTACTAACAGGTCTTAGGCAATAGACTTTAAATTATAGAATTAAGCAAAGTGATCCTTTACATACGGCATATTTAGAAACAGAGTTGGAGAACACACAAGCAAATGTTCAAAGAGCTACAAAATCAAGTATGACTTACATTTTAAGCTAAATATGTACTATGTTAATGAAATTCATTCCATCATCTGGCATACAATTCTCCACTCTGAACATGGAACACACAAAAATCTGTGCAGTCACATAATATTTTGTTGCAAAGAATTTCTCTCATATCAGAATTTAACACGTTGGACAGTCAACAATAAATCATGTAATATATATATATATACATATACATATATATTATATATGGAAAATGTGTCAAGGCAATAAAACCTAAAAAATCTGCACCAGTTCTATGTCCATAAAGCAGCTCATTAATATTTAATTTTTTTGAGTCCAGTAGTGGGGCCTAAACTCTGGGCCTGGGCACTGTCCCTCAGCTCTTCAGCTCAAGGCTAGCACTCTACCACTTGAGCCACAGCGTCATTTCTGGCTTTTTTCTTATGTGGTGCTGAGGAATCGAACCCAGGTCCTCATGCATGCAAGGCAAGCACTCTACCACTGAGCTACCTTCCCAGCCCCACCAAGGTTCTTTCTATTGTGAGGAAGTCTTGAGAACTTTTCTGCAGACTGGCTTAAATCCATGTTCCTCCCAATCTCAGCCTCCCATGTAATTTAGGATGACAGGCTTCTACCACGATCCGTAAAGATGGGCTGAGAAAGGAGTCTTGTGAATTTTGCTGACCTCTAGAACATTATGGAAAATGAGGTAAATAATTTACAAATGTATATGAACCATTTGAAATCCATACTGAAGGAGAGTCTACTGCATTCTACAGTAAAATTATATAGTTTTGATTAGTATATAAGATTTTGTTTCATACTTTTCTGTCTCTGAATCCAGAACGTTTCTTCTTTTTCTCTTCTGAATATGGCTCAACACCATTATCTGAAGCCTTTTTTTCTTGGTTACAAACTTCCCCTTCATCTTTATTCTTTCCTTTATCACCAATGTCAGTCTTTAGATTGTTTACACATGATGGTGATTCTGCATGAGCCCTAATATGCAAAAGAGAAATCTAGAGTAAACATGAAAGTCCATCATATTAACCACACAAGCACTCACAGAAACAACTTACAATAAAATCTGTCAGAAAATTCTACATGAAATGCTAGAGGCATGGCTTAGAAGTATCATGCCAGTCAACAAGGCACGATGCCCTTAATTCAAACCGTAGTATTGCCCAAAAATGTAAACATTTTTCATGAAGAAGTTCCTCAAAAAAAAACCCAAACCAAACAAACAAAACCAGAAATATAGGCAGAGCACTGGTGGCTCACACCTGTAATCCTAGCTACTGAGGAGGCAGAAAAAGCCTATGAGCCTTATCTTCAATTAGCCCCCAGAAAACTAGAAGTGGCACTATGGCTCAAAGTGGTAGCGCACTAGCCTTGAGTGAAGAAGTTCAGGGGTAGCACCTATGCCCTGAGTTCAAGCCCTACCATGACAAAAAAGAAAAGAAAAGAAATCTTATCACAGGCTATAAGGATGAATAGTAAGGATTTGAGTGAGGGAGGATGTTAAGTGAAATAAGCCAGTCACAAAAAAGACAAACACTATATTCCACTTTCATGAGTTACCTGGAGTTATTAAATGAATAGAAACAAAGTAGAATGGTGCCTGCCAGGGAGTGTGGACATGGGATTGATGAGTTATTGTTTAATAGGTAAGGAGATACAGTTTAGGGAGGTAAAGAAAGATCTGGAAATGGATGGGAGAGAGAAGAGTATTTAGTTTTTAGTACGTCATTAGTATAGCAATTCATTTTGCAAGATGAAGTTTAGATCTGTCACAATGATGTGAATATATCTGACATGACTGAAGTATATACTTAAAAATGATTAAGACAGCTAATTTTTCTGTGAAAGCTATCTATTTATGATATTGTAATTTTGATTTACACTTTTACAGATTTGTCTCAACATGTTTTTACAACCATAACTCATAGAAAAGCTAATCTTTTCATTTACTAAAAATTTCCCAAGCTTAAAAAGATAGTCAATTTTGTTATATGTCTCTTAGTACATTAAAGAAAGCACATGAATAGCGGGTTGTGATGGTTCATGCCTATAATCCTAGAGACTCAGGAGGCTGAGATATGGCATAAACTACTATCCTGGCACTGATATCAGAGAAGACTTGACTCAAAAACTGAGGCTAGAGAGCAAGGCAGAATGTAGATCTGGTTCCAAAATCAGCTTGAGAAATGGAAAAAGTTCCCAGTTTATTTTGATATTAGAATTAATTCAGCTCATGTTTCAAATGAAGATACAATACTGAACTGAATTACATTAAAAATTACTCAGGGCTGTAACACTTTTTGTTGTTCATTTATTTTCATTGCTTATTCCTAACTGTGCTTGATATGGTTCCCACTTAGGAAAAATAAATGTGTTCATTTTACTTGGGAAAAGAAACTGCTTACTTCTAAGTACTGAAATGATGAACAGAGAAATCAACAACTACAGTATAGTAGTTGACAGAACAAGTAGAACAGTAAGGATAAAAAAGACATGACCACAGTGTTAGCCAACTTAACCTAATTAATTTATAAAACACTCCATCAAATAATAGCAAAATATATACTTGTTTGAAATGTACATATAACATGTATCATGTTATATATAAACTTAAGAGAAAGAAAATTAGCCAGGCACTGGTGACTTACACCTATAATCCTAGCTACTCAGGAGGCTGACATCTGATGACTGTGGTTCAAAGTCAGCCTGGGCAGAAAAGTCCCCCGGAGACTCTAATCTCCAATTAACCACTCAAAAACTGGAAGTGACGCTGTGGCTCAAAGTGGTAGAGCACTAGCCTTGAGCAAAAGAGCTCAGAGACAGAGCACAGTTTAAGCCCCATGACCACTACCACCAACAACAACAAAAATAAAATTATATAAATTATTTCTCTTTTTGGTTGTGGTGGCACACCAGCTGATTATGTCTTTAATCCCAGTACATAGGAGGCTGAGGCAGAAGAATCACAAATTTGAGAGCAGTCTGGGCAACACAGAGAGATCTTATTTAAAACAAAAAAAAATACTCATCTACCTCTGAGCACAACAGAAATAAACTCTCTCTCTCTCTCTCTCTACTATATATATATAGTTTATATACTATGTACTATATATTCTATGTATATTATATAAATTATATGTAATTAAGCTACCGAGTCTTTTGCTCCCTTGTGGCACTGAGGATCAAAGTCAGGGTTTAGCAGTATAGTAGAACTTTTGTGTCATAGCCCCATTTTTTTTTTTGCACCAACATATTCTCTCATTTCCATACATTACCCACCCTTCTATATACCCAATACTAATGTACATTGAAAGCTTACTGTGTGTCAAATAATAAGACTAAATACTAAATAAGTCTGCAGAAGACATATTTTTACAAAAATGTTAGGTACTGTTCTAAGCAATTAAGAAGCAATAACTCATTTACTCTTAATAACTCCTGATTTTACAGACAGGAAAGCAATGGACAATATTATTAATGCTGAATACTTTGGGCAACAAATAAGCTAGAAATCAATTTTCTAATATCAAAGAAAACTGAAAGTACTTGCTGGAATGAGATTATCAGAACATACTCACCTTTTCCACAAGAGGCCAGTACTTGCAGTTACTGCAGAAGCTCCCAGGAAAGCCACTATCATTAATCTTCGCTTGGTCTGGGTGGGCTGTGATGCCCCATGGTACCACCGAGAGCCCACAGCCAGTTCTGCCAATGCAGAGAGTGAGTTAAGACGAAACATCCTGTGAAAAACCAGCAGAAATGTCACTCTTACCAGATTGTTGTTGTTGGTGATGGTAGTATCAACAGATGATGGTGAAGGGCTTATTCTGTGGCAGTCATTATGTTTGTGAATTATCACTGAAAGTATTATCCTACTTAATGCTCAGAACAAGTTATTAGCAAGGCTTTCTACTTATAAAACCCAATATGTCAAAGTCAAATGACATAAACCACATGATAACTATAACAGGGAATGATAACCACCACTTAGGAAGCAAAGAGATAGCAGATGTAGGAAATAGCCACTACTTCTAGGATTGACACAGACACCAAGAAAGTACTTCCTTTGTAAAAGCCCAGAGACACCTTGAGCCCAAGCCCCATGACTTACACACAAAAAAAGGTCAGAGACAGTACCCAGGCTCTGAGTTCAATCCCTTACACTAGCACCAAAAAAGAATGAGAATGAACAAACAAAAGAGAGAGAAAGAGAAGGAGGGAGGGAAGGGAGGACAGAAGGAAGGAAGGAAGGAAGGAGGGAGGGAAGAGAGGACAGAAGGAAGGAAGGAAGGAAGGAAGGAAGAAAGGAAGGAAGGAAGGAAGGAAGGCAGACAGGCAGGCAGGCAGGCAGGCACTGGTGGTATAATATCTATAATCCTAGCTATCTAGAAAGCAAGATCTGAGGGTCTCAGTTTGGAGACAGTTCAAGCAGACCAATCATCGAGATTCTTACCTCCAATTACTCAGAAAAAAAGCCAGAAATAGAAGGTATGGTTCAAATGGTAGAGGGCCAGCTGTGAGTGAAAAGGCTGAGCAAGAGCCCTAGGCCCTGAGAACATGGCAATACTATTGCTTTTTTTCTTCTCTGGTGTGCGCACACACACACACGCGCGCGCGCACACACACACACACACACACACACACACGGATGGCTAAGGACTGGGATAATACACCCAAGACACTTAATACACACTTGAAGTACAATCAGCAAGCAATAAACAGTAAATGCAAAATTGGGGGGAGTGGGTCAAAAGATCAGGCTGAATCCTGGAGCCAGTGGCTCACATTTGTAATCCTAGCAACTCAGGAGGATACAAATATTGTTTAAAGAATGGCCCACTTATTCATTAGCTGTGTAGTGAATAAACTACAAAGAAGCACAGGTAAAGAGCTAACCAAGACATGATGAGTACAACCAGAAAGCCAAAAACCTGGGAACTATAGATAATGCGGGTGGGAACGGGAGGGGGAAACTGGGAGAAAGGAACAGAAGGGGATACATGGTTCAAAAAGAATTGTTCTCATTCCTCATTACCTTATCCATATAATTGTAACCCCCTCTATATCAACTCTACAATAACAAAAAGGTTATAAATCTTTAGGGCTGGATGTTGATGAATGCTTAGTTTAAGTAAATGTAGAAACCCAAAATAGAGTCAAACAAGAAAATTTCCAGAGAAAATTACCAGATTCCTAACATATGATCAGTAAATGATCAGTACCTAACATATATCAATATGTAAAGGACTGGAGCTGTGGAAGATAGAAAGGGGAAAGAGATTAAAATAATAACACTAAGCAGTATGGTTGAAACTTAACAAGGACTAAGAATGAATCCAGTAACCTAAGATCCAGTCTCAACTCTACTCTTGGGTACTCTGTGGGGGAAAAGTTCACTAACCAGTCAAATGAAAGTACTGCCTAGCATGGGGTATACACAGCTCAGAGGTGGAACAGTGAGTGCCTAATAAGCACAAGGACCAGAATTTGACCCTAACACCACATTAAAAAAATGTTCAATGTTTCTTTTATTTCTTCAATGCTCTCATGTTTTGTTTTTGTTTTTTGCTAGTAGAAAACAACAATAACAAAACTTAATCTGTTTCATGGGGAGAAAAACTAAGATCATATCATGTATTCAAGATTGGTTAGTTTTAAAAAACCATTTCTCTGTGTTATGGCACTAGGGAATTTTAAACCTCAGAAGTTCTGGGTTTCAGTAACATTCCATTTAAATTTTGATGCTTGCAACTCAAATGTGTCTTTTCCTCATTTCAATGTTGGCTTTAATCTCATTCCCTAAAGAATACATCAAAAGATATATATATATATATATATATATATATATATATATATATATATATATATATATATATATATATATATATATCTTAGCTAGTAGAATTTTCATAAATGTGAAGTAAATAAGAATCCATAAGAAAGGCTCTATTATAATTTAATCCTAGCTCTGTGGTGAATAAAAAGCATAACTGGTTGATGTGTTAAGTTTTGATGAGAAACAGATTTAAGGAGATCAGCTTTCTAGCAGTCCAGAAGAACTAAATAGGCCAATCTGCAACAGTTATAAAGTAATGAAGATTAATAAGCACATTTAATGACGTGTTAAATTAAGTAAAAAGCAGTGCATTGTCTTTCCCAATATTCTGTCACACTTGATGTCCTTTACCCCTATCCCTGCCATAAGACATGCCTCAAAAAATATCTTCCATGTTTGTGCAAAAAGATAAAAAGTACTCTAAGAAATGTCAAGGGAGGTAATTGAAAGAAAAGTATCATCTATCCAAAAAGAAACTTCTAGAACAAGATTGTTAGAAACTTGTAATAGTGTATCACTGCTGCATTTTAATACCTATGTTAAGGCTATTAAGCTTATTGCTTTTGGTAAATTTCAGAGTTGCAGAAGTAGGAAATCACTTAAATCAATAAATTTTAGAGATGAAGGCATTAAGTGAATGGTTTACTCAGTTATTTAGTACAAAAATCGTAAGTAGATATTAGCATTTTTTTACTCCCAAATAATCTAAATAGGAAAAAGATGTTATTTGTTCTCAGCAGAATAAACAGGTATGAAAGGAAATTAAAGGAGTAAAGTGCTTGGCTAGCATGCAAAAGGCTCTAGTTTCAATCCCCACCACTGCAAAAATAATAAGTACAAGGACATCAAATGTTCAACTATAGAAAGATCAATAATCATATAACACAAGTATTTAAAAATTTTAATCATAACAGTAAAACATTATAAACTGACAGAAAGCTGAGACAGAGATATAGTAATTCAGTTGGAGAAATAAAAATGTGTCTGAAAACTACGAAAAGATACTTACTCTCATTCATAATGGGAAAATCCAAATTAACATTATGGTAAGAGGGGCGGAGGTAGATCTCGGTGGTAGAGCACCTGCCTAGCATGCACAAGGCCCTATCTCCAACACTGTAAAGCCAAATACCAAAAGAACTACACTAAGATATTCTTTCTTTACATATCAAGCTAGTAAGATTTCATGGGTTTCAAAACACACTCCACAATGTTACAGAATGTCAGTATGAATAAAATGTTAATTGATACAATCTTTGAAGGGAAATTTGGTAGCAACCATCAAAATTACCTACATAAACTGTAAAAATTGGCCCCCAAATTCCCCTTCTGACAATTCATGCAATTATGTACACATAAGTGGTTAGTCTTTGTATCATAGTTTATAACAGCAAGAGACAATGGACTACTCATCACCCAAAACAATCAGCAAAACACTAAGCTGGAGGCATGGCTCAAGTGGCAGAGCACTGACCAGAGTACAAGGCTTTGAGTTCAAACTAGTACAAACAATAAAGCAACAACAACAAAACCCAAACTATTAGCCTGAAAATTATTTCAGTCAAGTTTCTGGCTTGGTTGCATCACTGTTTCTAAATGCAAGTCTAAGATATGAAATCTAATAAACATTATTTTTATTATTATTGTGAAAATACCACACAGATGGGTTATAATTACCTGGGCAAGGTAATGAGTACATTTCTTTTTTTTTGGGGGGGGGGGTCCGGTCGTGGGGCCTGAACTCTGGGCCTGGGCGCTGTCCCTCAGCTCTTCAGCTCAAGGCTAGCGCTCTACCACTTGAGCCACAGCACCACTTCCGGCTTTTTTCCTTTTGCTTATGTGGTGCTGAGGAATCGAACCCAGGGCCTCAGGCATGCAAGGCAAGCGCTCTACCACTGAGCCAACTTCCCAGCCCATGAGTACATTTCTTATCAAGCATTGTTGCCTCCTCCTTTGTTTCCCCTTCCCATCCCTTCCCATCCCCCCCCCCCACACACACGGGTAATAAACATTATTACTTTTCTAAGCTCTTTCTTGGACCAGCTCTTCTTAAGTTTCAAATGAAAATTCATCTCATTTCATAAAATAATATATGAAATAATTACCACTCTTAAGCCGATGTGTTAGACCATACCTGCAATCTAGCACTAGAGCGGCTGAAGCAGGAGGATGAAGAGCTTGAGGTCAGACTGGCTATAGAGCAAGATGCTGCCTTAAGAAACAAACAAAAACAAGAACTTGTACAACTGAACAATAAGAAGTTTAGAACTATCTTGGGATATTTTGTCTCAAAAAAGTTGTATTTGGATTTCTTCTTCTGAATCCCTGTAGATTAACATTCTGTACTATGATGATTTTTAAAGTTGTTTATATATTTATATGTATATAATCTTTAATGTCAATGCATTTGCAGTTATTACCAACAGTAATAACAAGTCTTACTATTCAATTATACTAGAATAGTTACTCCTCCTAACTACTATTGGCCAGCAATGTAATGAGTGAAAGCTTTCTTTTTTGTTTTTGTTTTGTTTTGGTCAGTCAAGGGGCTTGAACTCTGGGCCTGGGGGCTGTCCCTCAGCTCTTCAGCTCAAGGCTAGCGCTCTACCACTTGAGCCACTTTCTGTTGGTGATTTATTGGAGATAAGAGTCTCATGAAGTTTCCTGCCTGGGCTGGCTTTGAACTAGGATCGTCAAATTTCAGCCTTCTGAGTAGCTAGGATTAAAGGTGTGAGCCAAAGGTGCCTGGCGTGAAAGCTTTGTTTAGAAACTGTATTCTAGAAATCATAGGGTCACTACATCAAAGAGTTGTCTGGTTTTAAGAGTTCATTTCAGAAAAACAAAATGTAAGTGTTTTGTATGTTGGGCGAAACAAGCCATCCTAAATGGTTACAGATGGGATAA